AAAAAAAAAAAAAAAAAAAAAAAAAAGCATATGGAACCCAGGTAAGACCATACCTTGTAATCATTGTCAAAATCAATCCACCGACCAAGTCTCTCGACCGTCTGACGCCACTCAGTCGCGAATCTCATCACAATCGCGCGACACTCCTCGTTATACTTCTCAATTCCAAGCTTCTCAACGGCCTCCAAGCCCGACATGCCCAACTTCTTATCAATCTCATACTCAATGGGCACACCGTGCGTATCCCAACCAAACCGACGCTCAACATAGTGGCCCTTCATCGACCAATACCGGGGGATAATATCCTTGATAGTTGACGCCAACAGGTGACCATAGTGAGGCAGGCCAGTTGCGAACGGAGGGCCATCGTAAAACGTGTAGGGCTTGCGGCCTTCGGACAGCTCAACCTGTCTCCGGAAGGCGTTGATCTCCCTCCACCTGCTGAGGATGGCCTCCTCCTCACGGGGAAAATCAATGGACATGACGGGCGAGCGTGGCGGGTCGTGACAATCGTGTGCGATCTTCCGTAGAGAGGGGAATGGAATGGACCGCGGGGTAAAGTTCGATAAAAAAGATGGTCGGGAAAGTTGACTCATCCGCCGACCGAAAACGAGCCAATCAGTGTGGCGGCCCTGCCTGGCGGTATCGGATATGCATTTTCGTTATTTGGTAGAGAGGATGAGGCTGGAATTGATGATCTAAGTTGTTGGTATACTTGTCTAGTCTGAATGACTAGGGTTTATGATATGGAAAAAAACTGAGAGACGTTCATCACCTTCGTGCAGTCCATCGGACTCAATATTGTGAGGGCCATTGTAAAGACCAACCAGTATGAGCCGTGTCTATGCGAAATGTGACTAACTACGACAGTGAGATGCAGACGAAGTAAAGGGGAAATGACAAGGCTTTTCTGAGTCACAATGCAAAAAATGTCTTGGAGAATGCGTATATACCCGGTAGTTCCTCATGAATCATCTTCCTCCTCGTCCTCCTCTTCATCCTCATCCTCGTCCTCCGACACTTCCTGTCCGAGATCTTTCAGGCGTTTCTAGAATTCAATGAGTCATGTGCATGCAAAAGTAGAAGAAAGAATAGAAAGAAAGCAGTGACTCACCTTGTCCTCATTCCTCTTCGCCTCCAAGTCCCCGAAGACGATCAACAGATCCTCCAGCTCGGATTGCGCACCTTGGCGGGCCTCCTCTTTCTCCTTGGTCTCGGATTGGGCCTTCTCCAGTTGCTGGCGTGCTTCCTCCAGAACTTTGGCAGATCGCTGTGCGTCCGCCTCCATCTGAGCGAGCTTACTTTCCGCCTCTTTGGCCCGCTTTTCAAAGGCGGAAGACTGGGAGGAAAGCTCGTCACGGATGCCCTGGGCATCTTGGGTCGACTGGTTCTTTGCTCCGTCGAGTTCGGATTGTAGCTTATCGTTCGCGGACTGTAGCTCGGTAGATTCGGATTGGTGCTTCTCGAGATCGGACTGTAGACTCTGCTTCGCGGACTTCAAGTCGCCAACCTCTTTTTGGTGCTGTTCGACTTCGGACTGTAGTTTCTGGTTCGCAGACTTCAGCTCGCCAAACTCTGCTTGGTGTCGTTCGAGGTCGGAGTATAGCTTCTCATTCGTAGACTTCAAGTCAGCGAGCTCCGTCCGATGCTCTTGTTGAACACGGTCAATCTCGGATCGCAGGCTCTTGATCGTTTCGCTGAGGTCGTTCACCTCGCGGGCATGTCGGTCTTTGCTGTCATCGGTTCCGGATTGGATGGTGTGGATGGTGTTGTTAAGTTCGGAAACTTGAGCCGCATGCTGTTCCCTGGCCTTGTCCGCATCGGACTTCAGAGTCTCGATCGTCGCCTGCAGGTCAGCAGACGCGCTGGCATGCTGTTCCTTGGCTCGAGCAAGTTCCGTCTCTACCGCGTGTAGCCTCTTCTGGAGATCAGACACCTCCGCGTCGTGGTGTTCCTTCACCCGGTGGCTTCTGCGCTCGTACTCCGCAGACGTATCTTTCAGCTGTCGGTCGATCGCTCGGAGCTGCTCATCATGTTGTCGCAGTAATTCGTTCTGCGCGTTCTTCTGTTGCTCCTTAAGCAGGTGCATCTCGTGCTCGTGGGATTTCTGCGCAGACTCGTGCAGCTGTTGGAACCGAGACGACTCCATCGTCCCCGACTCCTTCGATTTCCTGTGCTCGAGCTGCTCGTGTTCGAATCTATTCTGCAGCGCAACCAGGTCCGCTTCCAGTTTCTGCATGGCCTGCGTCTTGTCCTGGAGATCCTCCCGGAGCGAATCGACCATCTCCCGCGAGATGCCTCGCTGGATACCGTTCGTGATAACGGAGATCTCGAGCCCGGGCTCGCGGTCAATCGCGCGGATCATACGCCCAAAGTGGTCCTTGAGGAAATCGACAAACGTGCTGTCGAAGAAGATATCAGGGAGTCCGCCCTCGTAGTGAGGCCCGACGGTCTGAGGCAGCACCTCGAAATCCCGAATCGCGGGGCACTCTCGGAACCGCTTGATCTTGTCGATATACTGCTCTCGGCCCAGTTGTTCGGTCAATAGCTTGTGCAGGATCTTGCGGGGGATGGGGGAATCCTTCGAGGAGAATTCGTAGATGATCCCCAGGAGAAACGTGCAAAGGCCGGACAGAAGCACATTCGAGGCTAATCGGTGCTTAATCTCTTGCAGTAGAGTCTGTATAGTGCTGCCCTCCCCGAGGAGATCGTTAACAGCGTCTGGCTCTTCAAAAAGCCAGCCACAGAGGAGCATCAGGTATCCCAGAGAGATCCGCTCGTCATCGCCGCGCTGCATGCCCGTAATTAAATTGCCCACGATCAATTGGATACACGTGACAACCTCTTCACCCTCATCCGCGTTGCCCTCGGTCACTTCCATGGCGACCGCCTTTGCTTCGGTGTTCTCAAAGAGCAACTGAAGCATCAGCACGGATGCCATCCAGGTTTGATACGGATCGGCATTTCGTCGAAGCTCCGGGGGGGTGAGCAAGACAGACAGGATATTCGGAATATCGTCCTGACCGCTCACGTGTCCGTTGATCGCTCTCCGCAAGACATGGATCCGGATCCCCGAATGGCTGGAAAAGAAGGACTTGATGCACTCGCACGCCGCAAGGCGTGCATCGAGGAGTTGGATTGAGGCCGGCTCCAGGCTGAGCTTCAGCAGCGCTTCGATGACATTAATCTGCTGGGGCTTCGGGGCCGCATCGCCGTTGACAGCATCCAGGCTGGTAGGCGCCGGACCCCAGACCACCTCAACGTCGCCAAATCTCTCCTGGAGTGGCTGATTGCTGCGGATCAAATCGGCGCACGTGGCAAGCGCCTTCGATGTAACGCTCACATTGAAGCGCTGGCTGAAGGCTGTGCTCAGGACCTGCTCCATCACCCCGTTGTTCCAGAACGCCATCTGGTTGACCGGAGTGTTGATCCCACCCTTGACCAAGAAAAGCTGGATGATAACCATCAGCCCCCAGATATTCTTGTCGCGATGGGCCAGCGTCCACTCGGGGGCCTGTTCCTCAGCCGGCTGCTCGTAATTCACATCGGCGAGAAGCTTGGTGATTTTCTTGACGCATCCCGTCTCTCGAAAGTAGGACTGGTTGGAGATATTCAGGCGTAGGAGGGTAGCGAGTAAGGTGAGACAGTCTTCGACGACTTCTGATCCGTGTGTGAGAGCCCCTTCTGTCTCTATCATGGAGAATATGAGCTCAAAGGCGTTCTCAAAGGCGACTAGTTTCTGGAACTCTTCGGAATCCGGCGTCAACGCGATGAGGAGCAGTAGCGCCTCTACAAGATCACCCAATTATCAGCAAAACAGAACATTTCCATGACCATCTTTATCTTCCTCAAACCCACCATTGCGTACGGGTTCCCGAGCATCTCCCAGCGCACTGACGAGCCTCGGGATGCCCAGCGGTGCCGTCAAGATGCATTCCTGTGTTCTCTCCGGTCGCGCACTCGAGATCTGGAACATCAATTGCAAAGAATATAGTCGCGAGTAGAAGTCCTTGGTATCCAAAAGGTCGAGGAGGGAGGTGATATTGTCTTGTCGCTTTCGCGCCGTTAGCAAAGAACAACGCATCCATCCCGCCCAACAGCCAACCACGTACCTGAGTAAACTCATCGGACAACCAGAGCGCGATCTCCTCGGAGGCTTCTGGCTACAAACCCTTGTCAGTACACTCGATCGGCATCCTCCGTAGAAAAACCACATACACTCCCCTCATCCGGAGAAAACAGCATCAACAGCGTCTCCAGCACCACCTTGAGCGTGTCCACATCCTCCCGGTCATTTCGGAGGCAACTGATCAACGGTCGCAGCGCGCCCGATGCCACCGACGCTGGATAGACCTTGGCGAAACTCCTCAATCCCTGGATGGCCGCCCGACGATCTTCCAACAGGGTGGCACTCTGGATCCGACCGCTCAGCGTATCAATGGTCTCCGAGGCCGATTGTTTGGCCGGAGCCTGAGACTCAAGGATTCGAAACATCGCACTTGTTAGGTCGTAATATCATGGTCACCGCCGGTCGCGGGCGTATAAATCGACAGGCATGGAATGCGCAATGGGTGAAAAGTAAGGTCAGTAGTAGGTAAGTAGCAGATCAACCATATGAGTTGTTAGTAAAGAACGGGGAAGCTAAGTCAGTTAATAGTTACCTGTTAACTAAGAGTATCAGCGGGAAGACAGCGAATCATCCGTAGCAAAACAGTTCCTGTCTCCACTTCCTCTAAGCACTCCCACTATTACTACCTTATTAGGGTCTAAGGTAAGCTACCAGAGTGCCAGACAGACTCCAATCCGGAACTCGCGACAAGAGAAGCGCCGAAGACCCGTGGAATTTCTCCATCGCGATCCCGACTTATCGCATCAGAGAATTCATTGATCTTCCTTCTACTTCCCAACTACTCCACCAGTTCTCGGGGGCTTTTTTTCGGCCTTTTTCTTTTCTTGTTCTTTTGAAGAATTATATTATTTTTTACCTGCAGGTCGCATGGGGATCATCTCATAAATCCTGATAACACTTGAATCTTTCTTATCCTAAGTCAAGGTTTATCGAGACGGCCGTCAGCATCCCGCGCGAACATATCCGGCAGCCCATGGAGCGCTTTAACAAGAGTGCCTTTTAGTTTTATTACATCGATCGCTACCGCTCACCGTCGGATTTATAGACTCTTCTGATCGCCAAGATGGGTGTTCCGGCTTTGTTCAGATGGCTCTCCAACAAATACCCCAAGATCATTTCCTCAGTGATCGAGGAGCGTCCTTATGAGGTCGACGGGGAGGAGATTCCGGTGGACGCCACCGGTCCCAACCCGAATGGAGAGGAGATGGATAATTTGTACTTGGATATGAACGGTATCGTTCATCCTTGTACCCATCCAGAAGGCAAACCGCCCCCGGAGAATGAGCAGGAGATGATGGTCGAGATCTTCCGCTACACGGATCGCGTGGTGAACATGGTCCGCCCTCGGAAGCTCCTCATGATTGCTGTTGGTATGAACCCCGTCGATCCTGGGATTGATGTGTTGTGGGAAATGATAGCTGACGCGATGGAATGATGTAGATGGTGTCGCCCCGCGCGCAAAGATGAACCAGCAACGTGCACGTCGATTCCGTTCCGCCCAGGAGGCCAAGGAGGCGGATGAGAAAAACGAGGAGTTCCAGAAGCTGCTGGCGAAACAGAACGCCAACAAGGTCGACCACGATATCCAGGAACAGGTCATCAAGAAGACATGGGATAGCAATGTGATCACCCCGGGTACGCCGTTCATGGATATTCTGGCGGCATCCTTGCGCTACTGGATTGCCTACAAGCTCAACACGGATCCCGCGTGGGAGAAGGTATGTTCTTTTCACGCGATTGCTTAGAGGCGTCGTTCTAACTGATGGATGTAGATGAAAATCATCATTTCCGACGCGACCGTCCCCGGAGAAGGAGAGCATAAGATCATGGAGTTCGTCCGATCGCAGCGATCCTCCCCCGACCACGATCCGAACACCCGCCATGTGATCTACGGCTTGGTAAGTTGCGTGCGATGTACTGTACCTCACCCACTGGAGCTAACATGAATTCTCAGGATGCAGATCTGATCATGTTGGGTCTCGCCACGCACGAACCGCATTTCCGAGTGCTGCGCGAAGACGTCTTCTTCCAGGAGTCTAAACCACGCACGTGCAGAATTTGCGGTCAACCGGGCCACAAGGCAGAGGAATGCAGAGGGCAGGCGAAGGAGAAGAATGGCGAGTTCGATGAAAAGGGGAAGGGCACTGCCCTCAAGCCCTTTATTTGGCTCCACGTCTCCATCCTCCGCGAGTATCTTGCCGCCGAGCTTTTCGTTCCGCACCAGAAATTCCCCTTCAACCTGGAGCGCGCGTTGGATGACTGGGTCTTCATGTGTTTCTTCGTAGGAAACGATTTCCTCCCGCACTTGCCGTCCTTGGACATCCGGGAGAATGGTATTGACACCCTGATCGCGATCTGGCGGGACAACCTCCCGCTGATGGACGGTTACGTGACGGAGGATGGACATGTCAATTTCCCGCGCGTCCAGTTAATCTTGCAAGGGCTCGCCAAGCAAGAGGATGCCATCTTCCGCCGTCGACGACAGGGCGAAGAACGGAGGGCGGCGAATGAGAAGAGACGTAAGGACGAAGAGAAAGCCCGAAATGAGGAGCGGTCGAAGCGTCGGAGACGGAGCTCCCCGAGTTACGATTCGCAGGAGCCACTCTCGGGCCCGCGGGCCCGAGGCGGCGGAGACAACGCCGCTCCCAGCGGGATCGAGCTCATCACCCCGGCCCGTGGGGAACTGCCCCGGCAGACGCGAGAGCTCACTCAGAGCATGGTGGGCAGCCGCGGAGCGGTCTACAAAGCGAACGAGGCCAACAAGAGTGCCGCTGCCGTCCTGAAGAGCAGGCTGATGAAAGGCCCGCAGGAGGAGCAGCCCTCGGAGGATTCCGAGACCCCAACGGCGAATGCGGACGAGACCCCAGGCGATGACCAAGAGCCGGGCGACCCGGTGGTCCTTGGTAAACGAAAGGTCGACGAAAGCCAAAAGAATACGCCAGAGACGGCGAAGAAGGATCCCAACAACAACACTGGCGATGATGGCCTCCCACACGATACCGTCCGCCTGTGGGAGGAAGGATATGCCGACCGATACTACGAGCAAAAGTTCGGTGTCGATCCCGAAAACAAGGAATTCCGCCACAAGGTCGCGCGAGCCTATGCCGAAGGTCTGGCGTGGGTGCTCCTGTATTACTTCCAAGGGTGCCCGTCGTGGACCTGGTACTATCCCTACCATTATGCTCCCTTTGCCGCCGACTTTGTGGACATTGGGGACATGGAGGTCTCCTTCGACAAGGGCACCCCGTTCAAGCCCTATGAGCAACTGATGGGTGTCCTGCCGGCTTCGTCGAACCACGCCATTCCCGAAATCTTCCACGACCTCATGAGCAACCCGGAGAGCGAGATCATCGATTTCTATCCGGAGGATTTCGCCGTCGATCTGAACGGCAAGAAGTTCGCCTGGCAGGGTGTCGTCCTCCTGCCGTTCATCGACGAGAACCGTCTCCTAGGCGCGATGCACAAGAAATACCCCCAACTTACCGACGAGGAAAGACTCCGCAACGAGATTGGACGGGACGTCCTGTTATTGTCCGACCGGCATCCCCTTTACCAGGACCTAGTGGCCAACTTCTATTCCAAGAAGCAGGGCGATCCCAAGCACAAGCTGAACCTGCGGATCAGCGAGGGGCTGGCCGGGATCGTCGAGCGGAACGAGTCGTACATCCCGCACAGCTCCCTGGTGTCCGCCCTCGAGGGATACGGTATGCCGTCGCTGGACGAAGATCACTCTTTGATGTAAGCCTTTCTTTCCCATCCTGATCACCGTCACCATTCCGTCCGTCGTGCTAACATTAAGTTTCCAGGGTCGACTACGACGTTCCCAAGTCCAAGCACACCCACAAGTCCATGCTCCTTCGAGGTGTCAAGTTCGCGGCGCCCGCGCTCGACAATGGAGACATCCAGGCTGTCAAGAACCGCGCCCAGCATTCCGGCCGATCGTTCGGCGGAGCGCCCTTCCGCGGCGGCCGAGGTGGCCGCATGCACTACGGCGGCGGCGGCGACCGCCACAATGACCAGCACTCCAACAACGGCGGTCACAACCGTGCGAACCCCTTCGCCGCTCATCTCGATCCGAACTTCGTGCCCGGCAACAACCCCGGTGGCCAGATGATGCCTCAGGCCTGGGGTGGTGCTCCAGGAGCCGGGTCCACTGGGTTCTCTCGAGGCCCGCCGCCACCTCCCCGTGGCGGTCGCTACAATGGCTATTCCCGGGGAGGAGGCTCTTACGACGGCGGCGCATCGCAGTCGCATCCGCGGGGTGACTATTACGGTCGGGGTCAGCAGGGATATTACTCGCAGTCGCAGTCGTCGCAACAGTATCCCCAGTCCGGCTACACCGACCCTTACACCGGGCGACCCTCTCACAACTACGGTGGTCAAGGGTCCCGCGGCGGTGGATATTCCCGTGGCGGACAGGATCAATATGGCTCTCGGAATTCGGGTGGGTATGGTCGGTACTAGAGACGAAGACGTGTATATCTAGTTGATTTTCTTGCTCTTTCTTTCTTTTTTTTTATTTTGATTTTGGGAGGACACGATGCTTGCTATGACTACCATTGTTAATGGTATTTGATTACGGGTTCGATCGATTTGGTCCAACCTCGTATGAATCAATGAATCCACGAATCGCTTCATCCATCCGTGCTCAGAAATAAATAGTAAAATACGCAAAATAAAAGCACACAATAGGGGTCAAAATATAATTCGAAATAAGAACCACAAAATAAATCAAATAGTAATTATACCCATAACAATACTGTCCCTGTTCAATTATTCAACCCCATCTGTATACTGCATGGCTTACTAGAGGGCGATATCGGAGAGCGGGACCCGGTGAGTCAAGATCCCTTCTTTCTTTCTTACCCTTTCTGTCATTCTTCTATCCCTTCGCCTCATCCTCGGGACATTTACACAGTCAGATCATCTTTCGGGGTCAGCCCCATCTCACTTAGCAGTATCCAATCATCAAGCCATTGGGTAAGCCTTCACATCTCGGTGTTCTTGGCTGAAGTGATAGAGGGTCTCCCCTCCCCACCCCGCGCGCTCCAATTTTCTCCCGAGCTTCCTCTGAGTCAGTAAACCTCCGAATTACTTCTACCACCAGACCTTTCTTGTTCTCCGTCATATAGTCTTTATTGTCTGAACGGACAATTGAACTTGTTGGTGGATTATCTGGCGAGAACGGGTTACTTATACTTCCTGTTTCACAGCATGAACTGACGAGGGGAGAAAAAAATACAGTGTCCACCGCAGTCCATCCAGCTTGACCTCAGTCCCTTCCCTTACCTATTCTCTACGATGAGCGAACCGACCAAGATCAGCATCTTGGGTCAGGAGAGCATTGTCGCTGATTTCGGTCTCTGGCGCAACTATGTCGCCAAGGACCTGGTCAGTGCCTTGCCCTCTACGACCTACGTTCTCATCACCGACACCAACATCGGCTCCATCTACACCCCTGCGTTCCAGAAATCCTTCGAGGAGGCCGCCGCCGGCGTCTCTCCCTCCCCACGCCTCCTAGTCTACTATGCGCCGCCGGGAGAAGTGTCCAAGTCGCGACAGACCAAGGCCGACATCGAGGATTGGATGTTAAGTCAGAACCCGCCATGTGGACGCGATACGGTAGTCATTGCGCTGGGCGGTGGTGTCATTGGTGACCTGACGGGATTCGTCGCCTCGACTTACATGCGCGGCGTCCGTTACGTCCAGGTCCCTACGACCCTCCTCGCCATGGTGGACTCGTCGATCGGAGGCAAGACCGCGATCGACACCCCACTCGGGAAGAACCTGATCGGTGCCATCTGGCAGCCGACGAGGATCTTCATTGACTTGGATTTCCTGGAGACGCTCCCCGTGCGCGAATTCATCAACGGTATGGCGGAGGTCATCAAGACGGCCGCCATCTCGAGCGAGGAAGAGTTCACCGCTCTGGAAGACAATGCGGAGACCATCTTGACCGCGGTCCGCCGCGTGGTCCAGCCCGGTCAGCGCCGGTTCGAGGGCATCGAAGAGATCCTCAAGGCGCGCATCCTGGCATCCGCCCGCCACAAGGCCAACGTGGTGTCAGCCGACGAGCGTGAGGGTGGACTGCGCAACCTCCTGAACTGGGGCCACTCCATCGGGCACGCCATCGAGGCCATTCTCACCCCGCAGATCCTCCACGGTGAATGTGTCGCAATCGGCATGGTCAAGGAGGCGGAATTGGCCCGGCACTTGGGCCTCCTGAAGGGAGTGGCGGTCGCCCGCATTGTCAAATGCATCGCCGCCTACGGCTTGCCGACTACCGTGAAGGACGCGCGGATCCGGAAGCTGACGGCCGGCAAGCATTGCTCCGTCGACCAGGTCCTGTTCAACATGGCGCTGGACAAGAAGAATGACGGGCCGAAGAAGAAGATCGTCCTGCTGTCGGCGATCGGCCGTCCGTACGAGCCCAAGGCGAGCGTGGTCCCGAACGAGGACATCAGCGTCGTCATGGCTCCGAGCATCGAGGTGTTCCCTGGCGTCGCCCAGTCGTCCAGTGTTGTCTGCGCACCCCCGGGCTCCAAGAGCATCTCCAACCGTGCCCTGGTCCTGGCGGCGCTAGGATCTGGCACCTGCCGTGTCAAGAACCTCCTGCACTCCGACGACACCGAAGTCATGCTCAACGCCCTGGAGCGAATTGGCGCCGCGACTTTCTCGTGGGAAGAGGAGGGCGAGGTCCTGGTGGTGAACGGCAAGGGCGGAGACCTCCAGGCCAGCCCCGAGGAACTCTACCTGGGCAACGCCGGCACCGCGTCCCGATTTCTCACCACCGTCGCCACGCTAGCCACGCCGACCAGTGTCGATTCGAGCGTCCTCACGGGCAACAACCGCATGAAGCAGCGGCCGATCGGCGACCTGGTGGATGCCCTGACGGCCAACGGGGCCTCGGTCGACTATCTGGAGAAGAAGGGCAGTCTGCCTCTGCGGATTGCGGCCTCCGGGGGTTTTGCGGGCGGCCAGATTAACCTCGCAGCCAAGGTCTCCTCGCAGTACGTGTCTTCCCTGCTCATGTGCGCGCCCTACGCCAAGGAGCCCGTCACCTTGAGGTTGGTGGGCGGCAAGCCCATCTCGCAGCCGTACATTGACATGACCACGGCTATGATGCGGTCGTTCGGGATCGACGTCCAGAAGTCGACGACCGAGGAGCACACCTACCACATCCCCCAGGGTCGCTATGTCAACCCCGCGGAGTACATGGTCGAGAGCGATGCGAGTTCCGCCACCTATCCCCTGGCGATTGCCGCCATCACCGGCACGAAGTGCACCGTGCCCAACATCGGGTCCAAGTCCCTGCAGGGCGATGCGCGGTTTGCCGTCGACGTCCTCGCGCCCATGGGCTGCACTGTCGAGCAAACCGACAACTCTACCACCGTGACGGGAGTGGCCGGTGGTGCTCTGCGCCCCCTGCCCAATGTGGACATGGAGCCGATGACCGACGCGTTCCTCACGGCCTCGGTGCTCGCCGCCGTGGCCCGTGGGGACGGTGCGAATCACACCACCCGCATCTACGGTATTGCCAACCAGCGGGTGAAGGAATGCAATCGAATCAAGGCCATGAAGGACGAGCTCGCCAAGTTCGGTGTCGTCTGCCGGGAACACGACGACGGCCTCGAGATTGACGGGATCGATCGGACGACTCTCCGGCAGCCGTCTGGCGGAGTGTACTGCTATGATGATCACCGCGTGGCCTTCAGTTTCAGCGTGCTGTCGCTCGTGGCGCCCCAGAGCACTCTGATCCTGGAGAAGGAGTGTGTCGGCAAGACCTGGCCCGGATGGTGGGACACGCTGCGGCAGCTGTTCTCGGTCAAGCTGGCCGGCCGGGAGTTGAAGGAGGAAGAGGAGTCCGAGGTGGGAAGCGGTACCAACAAGGACAGCGCGTCCGTGTTCATCATCGGCATGCGTGGGGCAGGCAAGACCACCGCCGGCCACTGGGTCGGCAAGTCGCTGAACCGCGAGTTCATCGACCTCGACACCGAGCTCGAAAGCAACGAGGGCCTGTCCATCCCCGAAATCATCAAGCAGCGTGGCTGGCAAGGCTTCCGGGACGCCGAGCTGAACCTGCTGCAGACGACCATGAAGGAGCGTTCCACCGGCTACGTCTTCGCCTGCGGCGGCGGCGTGGTCGAGATGCCCGAGGCCAGAAAGCTGCTCGCCGATTACCACAAGAACAAGGGGAATGTCCTGCTGATCATGCGGGACATCCGCCAGGTCATGGACTTCCTGTCGATCGACAAGACCCGTCCGGCCTACGTCGAGGACATGATGGGCGTGTGGCTGCGCCGGAAGCCGTGGTTCCAGGAATGCAGCAACATCCAGTACTACAGCCAGCACGCGAGCGCCGGCGGACTGGCCCTGGCGTCTGAGGATTTCGCGCGCTTCCTGAAAGTGGTCACCGGCCAGGTGGACCACCTCAGCGCCCTCAAGAGCAAGCCTCAATCGTTCTTCGTGTCGCTGACCTTGCCCGATCTGCGCCCGGCCAGCAATATCCTGGAGGAGGTGTGCGTGGGGTCCGATGCGGTGGAGCTGCGGGTCGATCTGCTCAAGGACCCATCCTCAGACGGTGACATCCCCTCGGTCGACTACGTCGCCGATCAGATGTCCTTCCTCCGCAGCCACACGGCTCTACCGCTGATCTTCACCATCCGGACCAAGGGCCAGGGCGGTCGGTTTCCGGATGAGGCCCACGAGGCTGCCATGGACCTGTACCGTCTGGCGGTGCGATCGGGGTGCGAGTTTGTAGATCTTGAGATCACCTTCCCGGATGAGATGCTGCGGGCCGTGACGGAGATGAAGGGACACTCCAAGATCATCGCGTCGCACCACGACCCCAAGGGGGAGCTGGCGTGGGGCAACATGTCATGGATGAAGTACTACAACCGGGCACTCGAGTACGGCGACGTGATCAAGCTGGTCGGCGTGGCGCAGACGCTGGACGACAACACAGCGCTGCGGAAGTTCAAGACCTGGGCGGAGGAAGCTTACGAGACCCCGATGATCGGGATCAACATGGGTGACAACGGACAGCTGAGCCGCATCCTCAACGGCTTCATGACGCCCGTCTCGCACCCCAGCCTGCCGTTCAAGGCCGCTCCGGGCCAGCTCTCGGCCGCCGAGATCCGCCGCGGCCTGTCGCTCCTGGGCGAGATCAAGGCGAAGAAGTTCGCCATCTTCGGCAACCCGGTCTCGGCATCGCGTTCGCCCGCCCTCCACAACACGCTCTTCCAGCAGAACGGGCTCCCGCACGAGTACACGCGTCTGGAGACCTCCCAGGTCGCCGACGTGCGGGAATTCATCCGGTCGCCGGACTTCGGCGGCGCGTCGGTCACCATCCCGCTCAAGCTAGACATCATGCCCCTGCTCGACGAGATCGCGCCCGAGGCAGAAGTCATCGGCGCAGTGAACACCATCGTCCCGACCAACGGACGTCTCATCGGCTACAACACCGACTGGCAGGGGATGACACGATCGCTGCGCAACGTCGGCATCTACGGGGCCAACGGCGACGACAGCGCGATCGTCATCGGTGGCGGCGGGACAGCCCGCGCAGCCATCCACGCGCTCCACCAGATGGGCTACTCGCCCATCTACGTCGTGGGGCGGTCCGCCGCCAAGCTGCAGGGTATGGTGGCGACATTCCCCACCAGCTACAACATCCGGGTTGTGGAGAACAACGAGCGGCTCGAGACAGTGCCCCGCGTCGCGGTGGGGACCATCCCGGCGGACAAGCCGATCGACCCGGCGATGCGGGAGGCGCTGTGCCACATGTTCGAGGACGCGCAGAAGCTAGACGCGGCTGTTATGAACCAGGGCCAGAAGGCGCCGCGGGTGCTGCTGGAGATGGCTTACAAGCCGGCTGTGACGGCGCTGATGCAGTTGGCGAGTGATGCGGGATGGACGACGATTCCGGGGTTGGAGGTATTGGTTGGGCAGGGAGTCTACCAGGTATTTCCCTCTCCTTTCTTTGTTTCTTCCTTTACCTCATTCTATTGTTTCTTTGGTTTCCCCTATTTTACAAATCACTAACAAATGACAGTTCCAACACTGGACGGGGATCTCGCCTGTGTACGAGGATGCGCGCGCGGCGGTGATCGGGTCGTCATGAGGATGACATTACATGCATGATTCAACAAAAGCGTATACTCAGATGACTAGATTAGTGGTTAGAACAATGTTTATGGCTCTTTAGTATAAAGAGTGGATATAGTAGAGTAGATAGTACAAGTAGTAGGGTATTCCACCCCCCACCAACAGACCAAAATAGGTAGAGAAAAACAGTCGGTAGCAGAATACGGCATTAAATACAACTAGCATAAATCTCTACCTAGACTACTATTTAGGCAGGACATAGAAAATACTGAGGTAGAAGATAGTCCATCCATGAAGTCTCAGACAACAGAAAGAAAGGGAGGAATGATTGGGCATCAATGGAAGGGGGTCTAGACTCCGACCGGAGAAATCCCACAGTGCTAACTTAGAACCAGGTCCGCGAAGTCTAGACCTTTTTTCATTTTTTTTTTTTTTTTTTTTTT